AAAAAAAAATGAATTTTGGGTGTTCTTAATAAACAGATCACTAACAATCTTCTAGACACTCAGAAAGTACGAATCAGTTCACGAAAGGAATAGAAGGTAATTCCTTCAGATGAGTCTTCCCAACACATTTAAGTCAGTAGAGTCGAAAAGCTTCCACATTAAGCTCATAAAAATCAGATGCTACTTCAAAAGACTCCTCTGGTACAGAGGTGAAATTTTGAAAAGGTACAAATATCTTCCAAGACATCCAAAGTGTCGAAAGAATTAAAACATTAATACTTATCGCAACTTTTAATTCAAAACATTACTGCTGAGAAAAGCAATAAAAACCTTTGACTTAAAAAACTTAACACGTTATAAATAAAATGATTTTGAACTAGAAATAACACCGCAACTGATTCAAACCATTATATTAGAAGTATGCGAAATAGAGGCAAAAATAATAATAGTGTGGAAAAGAAAAACTAGCTTAGAATCTTTCAAACACGGAAAAATACTAACGTTTATGCACTAAGCAATACGAATCCGCCTATCCATGTCAAACGTGTACGTAAACAAATATATATAAGATGTGAGTATTTCTGTAAATGCTTAAAATACAAGTAATCACAGAAGACTCTAAAAACCAACTCGATTTTACCTCCCTTCACAATTACACACAACCACGTTGTAATATCAGTGATCTAGATTTAAGAATATAGTTTAAAATATCCAGAGTAGTCGTAGGCAAAAAATTTATTTCCGCTTCCTCCACTCTACTATTCAAGCTTGCCTCCATTTGCAACTTGCAAAATACCAATTTTTTTCATAATAACCTATACACAGTTAACGCTTAAAGCAATTCAACGTTAACTTTTGCTCAGTGAAAAAAGAAATCTGTCCACTAATCAACAGAGATCCTTTGGAATCACCATGCTTGGTAAGTTTCATGAAAAAATTGGTTTTCTTGATCGACAAGTCAAAAGGCACAAAGTATTAACAAGAAGAGAGCAAAGCAGCAAATAAACGGTGTTTTCAACGCAAGCATAGTGCAACAAAATTATGCTGATAAAT